ATATATATATATATATATATATATATATATACACACACACAAATATTGTAGCAGAAATATAAACATTAGAATGGGCCCCTTGCCTACCGGTCTGGCACCACTTGCCCTCAAGGCAGCACCAACAAGCAAAACGTCGTCATAGATTTCTTTGTAGGTTTTCCAAATATATTTCCCTGCCTGTAAACCATATAACAATCCTCAAATTTTAAGTAAAAGACAATTTTATGTTTTAAATTTCGAAAATAAACAATATCAAACCACTCAACTCAAATTTTCATTGTTCATCTTAAATACCGGTAATTTCAAATCTACATCAACCAGAAAAATGAAATATTGAAAGGAATCACCTTTCCACCATGAAATTCACGCCATCCAAGCATCTTATTTGAAGGATACTTCTCAATTGAGGCCCTTCAGCACCCAAATTCCAGCCAAGAAACACATTAACACCTCTCTATGAATAATACAAAGAAAAAAGACAAATAAAAGCCTTCATATTCCATCTATTCCATTTTTGCAAGACCCTTCATCAAGTCTCGTGCTTGGAGTTCTGAAGACAAACCCCAATCATTTCCCTTCTTTAACGCATCACCTACTCTCTTCCTCTTTTTTAACACCAAGAAATGAAGCACATGCTTACTCTCGTCACATTGTAATTCGAATGCATTTAACAAATAACAACAATTTAATTCAGGCTCCAAAATGAAAACCAAAAAGCACATTTGCAATTTTTAACACATGACTTTGTTCTTTTTCATTGGGTTTATGCATGAAGTGAGAAAACAGGGGAGAAGGCATTGTTTCGTTCAAGTAGAAAACACTTTTGTCGCGTAACTTACATAAATAAACTTTTTGCCCCTCCCTGAATACAAGAAGAATGCAAAAGAATCTATCAACTCTTGAAACACACATCATCACTAACAAATGGAACAATTCTTCTTCCCAATGCATAAGTATGAAACAAAATGTCAAAATGTGACCAACTCCCTTACATCTGAACAGTCTCAAACAGTACTCTCAATTGTCATTCAAAATTGGAAATAAATTATAACAAAAACCAATGAAGTCCTCAACATTTTTTTACACATTATTGCTGATATTACTTCAAAGCACAATACAACCTCAAACAAGAAGGCCCACTCTTTTCCTCCTTAAAAAAGTACATTACTCAATTTTCAAACATTTCTTGCTCAAATTAACTTACATGGGGAAAAAAAAACAGAATTTACAAAAAAAAATACAATCTATAGATAGAACCCAATTTCCTCCTCATTATAATCTACTCTTACTGCTAAGCATAAATTGAACACCTCGATGTTATTCACCCACTAGTATGTCATGATAGGCAAAAATAACATTGTACTCTCACCTGAAAACATCCCAAGAGGTGTTCATATCAGGAATAGGTGGTGGAAACCCATCCTTTGATAATACATTTCGGTAAACTGGACCAACAGCCGGCTTCCCATCCTTCCCCTCCTTCCCATCCTCCACAATAACAGCAAATTCCTTCATTATCTCCCTCTTCAAACCCTATAAAGATCCCACAAAAACCATAGGCTACAGAAAACAGAAACCCTGAAAACATAGAGAGAGAAACAATAAGAACCTCGGCATCAAAAAGAAGGACAAGAGCACGCCAGAGGAAATCTTCCACGAAGTAACAACAATAAAGAAGAACTCGAGAGAGAAAAAAAAACACTTACCATGAAAACCACCGACCCCAAGCCCTCCAGAAAGTGAAAAGACCTGAAGAAAGAATACCGTGAAACCTGAACAAACCCCAACACAAATGAGAAAAGCATGAACCACCATTAAAGCTGCTTAAAAGTTGCAGAACAATTGACAAATAAGTAGAGAAAGAGAGAGAGAGAAAAAAAGGGTCCTTACAATCCAAAATCCAAAGTTTGAGCTTAGATGAGAAGAACCCCATGAAGAAGGGGGATTTATAGGCAAATACCATCAGCATTTCCACGGATTCCATTTAATGCGCAGACGAAGGTAGAGAAGGAGTCATTAATTTTGGTAGTTGAAACCGGCACACTGAGGAATTGAATGATTTTGAGGAATTGAATGATTTTGCCTAATTTGACCAGAAGTAACCGTTAAAGCTCAGAAACAGACCCGCGCTTTTTTATCAAACGAGTCATCTTCTCAGATAAAACGCGCGAATATAAAACAGTAGGCGTGAAGAAACGCTGAGCCAAATGACGGAAACTACCCTCACTTCCAATCAAGTCTTGCACAGTTTCGAAATGGCAAGGTTCTCCCTGTTTTAGCATTATGCCCTCATATTAGATCAAATTGGAAATTCAGGAAAATAAGGGAAATTCATCAAAATATTAAATACCAAGGAGAGCAGAATAATTAAAAGATACCCGAAGCGAAGCAAAGCTCCGGTGCATCAGCTTCAACCTGCTTAAAATAATTGTTTTTCTTACATACAATTTTGTGCTTCGGTATTATTCATAATCTTTGGCCGAAGCACAAATTTTTTTTTTTTTTTAATTATTTATTTTAAATTTTTTATTATATTTATATTATATTTAAAAAAATTTGAAGTCTTCCTCCAAACCGAAGCACCGTATTGCTTCATTTTTTCCACCAAACTGAATAAGGCTCCAAAGCAAATCTGACAGCACTAAAATTTACACTACAAAAGTGAGGTGCAACTAAAAAAATCTATACAAAAAGTTTTTTCTAATACTGAAAAACAAAAGTGAGGTGCAACTAAAAAAATCTATAAAAAAAAGTTTTTTCTAATACTGAAAAACCTTCCAATTGATCATCTCAATATCGAAATGAATTAATATTCGGAAAAAAAAAAAGAAAAAAAAAATGTAACTATAAGTATTAAAAATAAGGGAAAATATCTCTATATCCCTTATTTTTAAGTTTAATGCTTGATAAACTCAAGGTTTCAAAATACATCTTCTAACTCCCTAGTAATTTTAAACTTATTTTTTAACCTAAGCAAATGTGAGAAAGATATATTATTTCTAAACCTAATTATTTATCTCTCTCCACTTATATACCCCAAACTTCTATTTTTATCTCTCTTCTGCATCTCTCTCACTCTCTCTCCTCCCATGTTTCTCCAAACACCTCTTTCTTTCCTCTCATGAACCTCTCACCTCCCAGAAACCCTTATCTTTCTCTAGAAGTTTAGGATGATGGCTTTTGGAAAAGATGTCTTTTTAGATTTGTTTGGCCTAAAAAAATAGGTTTAAATTAGTTAAGGAATTAGAAGAAATAAAATCTACAAGTTTTATGTCTCAAAATATATTTTAAAACTTTAGGTCTATTGTGAAATGACACCTAAAAATAGGAGGTATAGAGATATTTTCCCTAAAAATAATACATTTTATAACAAAGTATATAAACCATGCATTTTTAAGATTTTTAAATGTTTATAAATTTGCTCAATTCATGTTATTTTTAGAGTTTTAAATTTCATAATTTTGGGTGGAAAAATATTTTCAAGCCATTGCAAGAGTTTTCAATATCAAACCTGCATCTTCATGCAAAATCTGGAGATACCTATACTATTATTAGTTTGCGTGAGCACCTTATTTACTTTTTGAAATGGAAAATTGAAAACATCACTTTTTAAAGGTGGTGTGAGCACCTTATTTACTTCTCTCCAGAAAAATAAAAAATCAATAAGAAAAAAAAAAAGTACGCACTTAAGACTGCACCTTTTAAGCAATGGAACCCATGTTTGGATGGACTAGGACCTAGAATTAGGGTTGAAGGTTTTGATCTCTCTTCTATTCTTGACTGTGCTCCCAATGTAGCTACAAACTATGGCCCCAAAGCCTAGCTGTCGGTCCGGTTAGACCCAACCCATCCCCTCTTTTTTCTTTTTCTTTTATTTTTTCTTATTTTTTAGCCCGACCTAGACGCAAACCGTTGCCAGCATGTGTATTTTGTTCCACTCACGCAAGATAGAGAATTTGTGGGAGTCACAATCATTGTCGCGCGTCTTCTTCTTTGCTTCGATCGTGACTGATAACCCCACCAACTTGTAGATGACGTTATTTTTATGATAAAGATGGTGCATGACCAGATGAGAGAGGGGGGCTCCTGAGAGGAGAGAGGTAGAGGTCCACTCGGCATAGAGAGATTGTAAACTAAGTTGGGAGAGCGTAGGAGCTTTGCATGCAACCATCGTTACGACACCGTCACTCCACTACCGCCCCGAGCGAATCACGATCGGGAGGAAGGCCGGCCTTCATCTTGGGACATCTCAAATCAGAGATGCAACGGTGCAGTGACAAGCGATCCCCACCAGTATCACCAAGACTGAATTATGTGTGGTAGCAGGACCACAGTGGTGGTGCGAACTGCGGCCGCACGGTCGGTTGGATGCACGTACGAGTATCACCCAGACTGAATTATGTGTGGTAGTAGGGCCACCATGGTGGTACGAACTGAGGCCGCAAGGGCAGTTGGATGCACGTACGAGGCGCACCTGCATGCATAGCTCGAACAAGCTGTGGACCTAAAATATGAGTTGATGAAGGAGATACATTGACCATGAGAGGTATAGTTGGTTTCACGATAATTTATTGTGCTCTCCAAGGTATTCATATGATGGGTTGCATTTTCTTTTCTTAAAGGCAAAATATCTTTCAAATTCCCAAATTATTTTACAAGATTATTACGGCTATAAAATTATCCCAATACTATTCTAATATCTTCTTTTTAAGTTTTATGTCCGGTACAAACATGTTTTAAAGATGGGAAACCGGTACCTACCTAAAACATGCTTTAAAGAGGGGAAGGTTTATGGGAAATGACTTGAGACCCTCCCACACCCATGTATGTAGGACTCTAAAGTATATATCTCTAGAAAAGTCAAGTCTCACACACATGTGATAACTTTTCTAAAGATTTGTGTCAAATGTAATGGTGATCATTTGGGGTCCTACACACATGGGAGTGGGAGGGTCTCATAGGATCATTGCTCAAAGTTTATATAGAGTCTAGGATCTAAACAATCAAATTAGAGCCTACCTCAAATTTTCAATAGAAGATGTTGTTTTGATGCTCAAATATCATCAAATTGTTCATCTCGACATCAAAATGCATGTACATGAAAAAAAAATGGATTTCAAGTTTTGGAAATAGTGCATCTTGTAACACATTTTTTTGCTGTCAATTTTCAAGATTTTCAAGTTCTCATAAATCTTCTTGATATATACTATTTTTGAAGCTTTAAATTTTATAATTAAAGATGAAAATATATTTTAAGGCTATCACAAAAATTTTCAGTATGGAAACCATATTTCTCGATACTATTTGAAGGCGGGTTCTAATTTGATTGTTTAGAGCCTCGGCTCTATACAAACCGCACCCTTTAATGATTACTATGTTTATTCAGGGCTGGAACCTAAACATTCATGGATATTCGAGGAGTTTAACCCAGTTCGAACCAAATGATAATAATACTCCTGATTGTTTAGGCTTCTTCCGGGGGTAAATAAATATTAAAAAGAAGAAAAAAGAACAGACTTATTATTCAGACTTAGCAACGCAAAACTCTGCAAATACTTTTGGTTGTTCATGGTCATCAATATGGAGGTCTCTTTTTTATTTGTTTTTCAACTCTAAACAACTACCATTATTGTTTGTCATTTAGCATGTCCAACTCAAGTAAGGCCTGGATGCTAAAATGCCCCTCTTGTAGCCCTAGATTATGTGCAATTTGTGAATTTTTTTAGAAACTTCTCTAAAGGTACCTAAGTGAAATAGATATTAAAATCTAAAGAATAAACATTCGAATGGTAAATGGGACCAAAGGCTGCAGTCGTGGTGGTAGCATCTCCATACCCAATTACCACATTTGGTATCCATTCTTAGTGCTGACAGCCCCAATTACTTTCAAAATGAAACTCCCCAATCTATTGATAAAATGGCTAAGGGCTTGTCTTCCTCACTGAATTATCCAAAAATAAATAAAATAAAAGATCATTTACCTCTTATAATAATATTACAATATGCTTAGGGGTGCAGCTAGGCTTGGCCCTTACCTATATGGCTTGAAAATTTATGTGACATTTTCCCTTTTTTCAAAATATTTCTGTCACACCCAAAAAATTTACAATACTATTATTCCTGAGATGTGACGGACAAAACATATATACA